TCCATAGTGGCCAAAGGAAACTGATGAAATATTTGGGTAGGATTTCTTATCTAGGTGCTACACCTATTCAAAACTAAGAGATTACAAATCTCTTGTCCAAACACATCTTTGTGAATTCACGATCAAGAACCGTCGGACCTGCCCTTAAGCGAATGACAAATAGCAACTACAAAGTAATCATTGCTTCCTAAATTAGGCTTAAAACCTTCGTTTACTGTATATTTCTTTCAAAAACAACGAATCGCTTTATCCTATAACCCGAAGAAAACTTATTGTGTCACGGACAAAGTATTATGTTCGCAGCACTTGCCTTGAAGAAGCTCATAACTCTCGCTTTAGACTGCTAGCAGCCTTTTTTCTAAGAGGGAGAAGTGAGGTACTCACATAATTGACGTTGAAACGGTAGAAACTGGGTAAGGACACACTCTTTGTAGTTTTTGTGTTGTCCTAGTCTCTTTTCGCGCCAATCCCTTCTCTCCCGAGGCTCCCTCAAAATGCGAGTATTGACAAGATTGCTTGCAGTCCAATAGTCTTTTTCTGAGAGACAAAAAGTAATTCAGGCTACTTAGCACTCAGCAGAAGTCACAGCAAGGAATGGGACGTGAAGTATCAAGTTGCTCCTTTCGTAATATATCCTGCTTGTCTCGAGAAGTTCTACCTGAGGTCCGAACAAAGGAAAAAACAAGAGTCTTCTCTCTCCACGCCTATTTAATTTCTAAAAGGAAACTGAAATGATTGTTACGCAGGGTAATCAAAACTCGCGTTGAGTAACTTGTCTGCCTTTCTGAGATTTAACCTATGTGAATACTGACCATTTCCTTCTGTTCTCTTTTATTTTTAGATGAAGTATGCGATAGTGTTTGTCCTTATTCTGGTTGCTGCCCTTCCGTCATCTGCTCTTCCTTCTTCTTCCTGTGATGTGTGTGAGCAAGATTTAGACCTGTGTGAGGGTGCATGTATAAGAGGCTATGTCGATTGCACCGTTTGCACACAGCAATGGCAAGATTGCATTAGCGGTTGTTCTGGAAAATGAGCTAAAGAACTGAAAGGCTTCAAGATCACCAAAGACCTCTCGAGTTATATTTCAAGATTTTGTTTTTGTGTTTTAGGACAAAAATGTAGTACCACATTGTACGATTTCCAAAGTAAATTGAAACTTTATTCCACGTTAACTGATATGAAATAAAATAGAAGGAATTTACTCAGTTGTATCTTTTTAACTTTCATTTCAAAGCATAAGTCAAATTTACAAAAGGTGCAGAAAGGAGAAGCATTGACAAAAAGGCAAAGACAAAAGAGAAAGTTCAACAAACAAAATGATAATTTTTGTCTTTTTCGGTAACAAAGAATATTGACTTAACCCGGAGAGAAATGTTTCTATTAATGTTTCTTATTATGGAAGAAGAAGAGAAAGTTGAACAAACAAAATGATAATTTTGTCTTTTTCGGTGACAAAGAATATTGACTTGGGCCCGGAAAGAAATGTTTCTATTAATGTTTCTTATCGTGGACGGTTAAAGCTAAAAGAAGGAAGGATGATAATGGATACAGAGATAGTAAACATAAAGAGTTATGCTAATTTTTACAACGCGCACCAAACCTAAGCTAGCTTTTTCTCCTTTCCAGTAATCTCTGGTCAAAATTTTGCTTTGTTTTCATTACCACATTTGATAGAACCGTTAAAATCCACTCAGGTTAAGCGTCTTTGATGCGGTCTAATTACATAGTGCAATATCCAATATAAAGTAACGACAGAAACTTAACTTCACTTATCAAGTACTGGTATTTACTCTCTAAATATGTTTCGTATTTGCTCTCTGAATATATAGAAACGGAAGATTCAACGAACATTTTCCAGTTTGGCCGGCCAAACACACTTGATCACACACAACACAATGCACCTTGGCATGTCAAACTCAGTGTCAACAAAAGCCTATATCAAGTCTCGGCGGCCACGCCCCTACCATTGTGTGACTCAAGAACACACAAAATTTGGAACCTTTGACTCGATTGCCAGGAGACATTTTAATAGTGATTAATTTTACCAAAAAAGTTTAAAAGACGAATTTAAAAGCTACTTTAGAAGTTTGAAATGCTAAAGATTTAGGATTTAATGGGTCAAAATTCACTTTTTAAAATTACGATTAGGCAATTTTCGAAGGCGTTCAAAGTGTCGTATAACGGTTAGCGCGTGAGAATGGGTTCTAGCTCTTTTGCGCATGTTCCAATCTTTTACCGCCACATTCGAATGCAGCGAGAAATTTCCTCCATTAGGTATATAATTCGTCTAGTTTGCGACCGATTTAGATAGGTCAAATGGCCGCTCAAGTTGGAGCACTCTCACTGGTTTTACTTCAGGTCTTCTGCAGATCCGTATAAGCCGAGGGAGAAGGATCATAGGGGCATCCGTTACCTTCGTTCACATGCAGTGTTGACAAGTAAGTAGTTTCATAAATAAACAAATCGATTTTATTTTTTCCTTTTGTTCTCAGAGGTACGGAATTTCATATAAATTTTGTTGCTAGTAAGTCTCGAATAAGTCTGCCGGTTGTGTCTATCAATTTTTCAGCCATCTTCTCCACACAATTGCTAATTAAGGAGAATGGAGAGGGAAAAAGTGAATTTACCCTCGCTGCAGTTGTGAAGAAAATCATGTAACAAATTGGTTTTAGAGGCATCATCCTTAACAATCGAATAACAACTGTCCTAAGGAAAAAGATCGGGACCGTGTGTGCTGAGCTAAAGCGAACAAAAAAGAAAAGTGGAGGTTTCGGTATCAAGAGGCTCACTGACAAATGGCGCTACCAAACTTATTCTGTCAAGTTATTTTATCAAGAGCTTGATAATTACTTTATTGAAAAGGAAAATCAAGATTTGAGGGGAAAAACGAGCGCTAGAAGAATCTTTGAAGAATGAAATACCAAGCGACAGAAGTTTAAGGAAAAGCTTGACGACACAGAGAGAACCTGCAAGTATCACTAAAAAGATTCCAAAGATTCCGGCCAACTTAGTGAATTTCACTCGCTTTGTGATTTTGTTTACGGCGGTCACAACGACAGGATAAAGTTTACGGTCGTTGGTTTTTGTTCTTGTCTTCTTTCTGAATAAAAGCCCCGTTGGAAAGACCTCGTCAGAGTATCGTTTTGGGACTCTCCTTTCCCTTACAGACGCCATGGTTACAAATATAAATTGTCACCAATGCGTTTGATACTCTAATGCGCAAGCACCGTAGGGAAAACGTTGTCCGTGCCAGCCTGGACGCCAATGAGAGCAAATGTTCGCGCTTATGGGAAATAAGTTTGATATAGTGCAACGCGTTTAATGTTGGCACCAGTTACCCTTCATTTCGTTTCACTTTCCCCGCCTATTGCATATATAGTCGTCCAAACGAAATATTCCGCCGCTTTGTGCTTGCAATGTAGTTTATCATGCATCCGACATTTTGTTTAGAAGGGCTTGTTATGCACGCACATAATGCCTACGTTACCGAAATAGCAATTCCTAGGGGAACGGCTCCGCTAACGCGCGTAGAAGCTCCGCTTTAACTACAGTACTTAATTGAATATCTTTGATTGAAATGATGCGGATAGTTGAAACAAGGAAGCTTTTGAGCTGCTTACGTCTAATATGAGTTCCGTTGTACGTGTGGCGGGATTGAATTTTGTGGTATTGAAACTCATTAAGCGGCATTTAAAAGTAACGTGCGATTCTTTGTCAAGAACATTTCTAATTATACAGCATTGGCTGTAACAAGAAGAATTTATCAGAAAAAGGCCCACACCTCGCCCTGAGCATATGGTTAAACACTGCTAAAACTATACTGAAGGTAAGGCAGTCCTGTTTTGATGCTGGAAGTGGGGCATTTTCTTTTCTTAATTGATCGAATATCGCTGTCTGACTTACTGAAAGCCCTTCCAGGGTGTTCGGAAACCTTTTTTTTAATTATTCGGTTGATCCGTGAAAAGGTTAACGATGTGTTGACGCAAAGATAATAGGATTGAAGAGCTTGTGATTCTTAGACAGAAAATCTCATTTTCGTGCTTGAGGTTCTTAGTTGCCTTACCTCTTGAAAGTAATCGGTGTCGCTGGCATAAATGAGTGACTGCCAGAGGCGGTGGCTGCTACCGTGAGATATAGTACACCGTGCCCCTTCGAGCTTTACCCTGTTGTTTAGCGAAACAAAGTTTTAAGTGAAACAATCTGTTGGTTCCCTTTAATAGAGTTTACGACCTGCGAATAAATTTGATGTAGAATCACGGAAAAAGACACGTTCCTTCTAAGATTTTATGAATGGGAATTTACCAGTGCATATTGATGCGGAGTTGCAAAAAAAGTTCCGATCAAACAAGTGTAATAGTGAGCTTGAAGCGAGACAAAAAATATGACAATATTTGACTTCTCTAAGTCTTTTCTAAAAGATCGTAAAGTAACACTTTCATTAAATACATGCATACCAATTTCAACTAAAGGATGATAGAGGGTGACCTATAGAAAACTCATCATGTATATACAAAAAGAAATGTTCTTTAGAGAACCATTCCTTAAAACTCTAATTGAGTAAAATACGTCGTGTTGTTTTCATTCTTGGATTTAAGTCAGCTGAAGATGATCGGGCATACTGAGGACGAAATAGAGATTAATTGTATAACTATTCAACAGCTTTGCGTGACCTTCTGGCAGTTTGGTCAGCTGTTGCGTGCTTCGTGCCGTCAGCGGTGCGAACAATTTTAAGGATGTCGGGTAACCACATCACAGGTGAAGCGTTTGTGATGATGTATCAAATCCGCAGACTGAATGTTATTACGGAAGCTGTTTCGGCCTTTTGATCTTTAGCCGAATGCGGCAAATCAAGTCTACTTTGATTGGTAAATGAACCATCATAGAGGAATCTTTAGTTCGTACACAGCATGGCCTCGTAATACAGTCTTCGATAACTTTTTTTCCAAATGACTTCGTTTCAGGATGATGGCATCCTTTGTTATGTTGCCGCCAAGCTCATTCGGAAAATTTTTCAAAAGAGAAACAAATGAATTTAAGCAAAGTTTTGAAATATGGAGGTACTCCTCTTTTAATTTTGATGGACGTAGCATCTCGCAGGCGTTGAAAATAGGGGAACTGATGAAAATACTTTTCTGTTTAAGAGCCATATTGGTCGCCTTTTTTTGAAAGTCCAAGGATCCAAACATAACCTCCCCTGTGCAATTGTAAGCCTAAATTCTCTTTACAAACTCGACAACGTTCATACTCCTTTTAAGGAAAAAGGTCTTAAGTTTGGGCCGAGTAAAACTACTCATGTAGGATAAAAATTTATTTAAAAGGAGGACTTTAACGTTTACGACAGCCTCATTGACATAAAAATCTATCTTTAAATTGTTAATAATATTGATGAATGAATGTCACAACGTAGATTAAATTTTTGTATAGAGGCATCAAGGCAATATATGGTTTATTAATAGCCAAAGTATGCTGCTCTAGGGTCGGAAGTTAATCGCGGCTTAAATTTCCACTTCTCTTAAGCAAATGAGTTTCTAAAATAGTCCCGGCAGTCCTAAATTGTCATAAAGCTGGCTCTCTCAGGGCAACGAGCTTCTGAAACGCTATGAAGCAAATTCTTATTTTACGGAAACTTTGGGTTATGTTTGGAAACCGTTTTCTAGTTAAAGAACTCCTGCATGCTTTTATAAAAATAGCCTTTTTGAGGATGGTTGACTACGATTAATTGTAACATTTAACAGTAGGATCAGTTACGGAAGAGTGATAAGCCGTAGGATTTACTATCACTTTAGTGTTTTAAATGATTGATTCAACATAACTGCCAAAAAAAGTGCGATTTCTTGATGAGTGCTGCACTCACTGCAGGCTTCCAAAACTCTATGCATTTTCAACCCTCCAGAATAATGAGGAGTAATTCTTACACATTTTTAGAAAATGAAAAATAAAAAATGCACATCTAAAAATGTTTCCATCCAAAAAGGTGTCGATTGAATCACTGGACGAATTAAAGCACAAACATAACACAGACTAAGAGGAGTCCTCTCTTGAATATTACAACTATCATCATTCATCTATTGTATCAAATGTATCAAAATGAAGTCACTAATGAAAAATTTACAAAATGTGGGTCTGCATACACCGCGAAAGAATCCGCTATTTTGTAGTTTACTAGAGAATGTGGATACTCCATTTAGAGTGAGTCTACGGTTTCCCAAACGTTGTCCAAAAACTTCGATTTCATACTTCACCAATTTTACAAAATACCCCTATATCTCCTAAGACGAAAATTGATTCAAAAGAGCTAAAATATTAAACGGTTTTTTCCCATTGATTCTATTATAAGCTGATGAGAAATTTATCTTTATAAGGCATTGTTTTCAATTGAAAATGAAATTCACTAAGATTCCTTCGTCCAAAGTTTTTAAACCTTGTTATTTCCTTTAGAGTATGTTTCGGCCTCAATTATTTAAGTGATCAGTGGCTGGCCACGGATTCTTCAATTCCTTTCGGCTTTTCTTTGCTTCCCCAGCCGGTTCAGTGAATTTTTACAGATGGCCAATTGTGCCCAATTGCAATTGGCCGAATCTTGGAGGGCTAATTTCATAGCGGTTGACTGTGTTTGCAATCATCTTCTTTATGATTTCTTTTCGGCTTTCTGTATGTGGTTTTAAGGTTAAGTGGATATTTATTGATTTTTCTTAACTTGCCGGTTTCTCGGCCAATTTTCTTTGTTACAAGGCCAAAAAAGTTTTTCCATGAGTAGTTTGCCGATTTAATCCTTGCTGGTACCGCACAAACGAAAGACCCATCTGCAATTCGAAAGGGATCTATGGTTCAAAATTTTTCATTTATTTTTCAAGCTTTACGAGTGATCGGCAAAGAAGAACGAGACAGGAGAACTCTGGATTCGGTGAAGTTTTATCCATCTTCTTGCATGAAAAGATCGCGATTTTTCTACCGTTTTGTGACTCGTCAATGTTTTTCTTTCACACGTGTTATGACAGAGGAAAGACTACGCCGATAATATGGAAAAATAAGTGGTGGGAGGGCCGAGCTAAACATAGCAACAAGTACGTGCTCGGCGGCTCCTCGAGGGATGTCACTTGATCGAATGTAAATCTGTCATTTGAAGTGACTTTGCAATCATCTGTGAATGTAAAACCACAATGGAAATTAATTCCTAGCTGAAACAAAGTACATTGTGGTATATTCGGCTTATGTAACCAATTTTAGTAAGTCATTGGATTTTTTTTGTCAGTGTTCCTTTTTGTACCTTTTGGGATCAAAAGAATTTGATAATAATTGAATAAATGTACATAGAATTATCAATCATGTTACTTATTTTCAGAAGACGGAAAGGGCCGTTGATATTGTGATTCACGTTGAACAACAACCTTTCATCTGAAATTTAGAATGTGTATTGTTCCTTAAATTTTAATGAACATGGAATTTTCTGTTCTGCTTTTCAAAGGTTTACCTCAAGCAGCCCTTTTTAAAGCAAGAATACTAAAGTGACATTGTAATCGTGATATTGATAAAGTTAAGGAAATATTGTCATTCTTATTTCAAAGTCGGCATTCAGCAAAGTGTTTGCAGGTATCAAAGAGATAGTTAGATTGAAATTAATTAAATAAACACAGTCCACAAATTGCCTGTTAACCTTCTATTGATAGATGATTTGATCGAAATCTTGTCTTTTAAGGCAATGACTTTAAATAACTAGTTTGATCAGAAACTAAGGAACTTTTTTTTTACGAGATGAGATATATTCTGTCTCTTTATCTGCGCACAATCTCTTTTGCAAGGTGGTCAAACGAAGGCAGTAGAAACATCAGAGCATGTCTGAATTACAAACGATTGATGATTGGGTGTTTGAACAAGATGCAATCAAATTGGTCCATGGAGCGGAACATTGTGGATATTGAAATGTGGAGTAGTTCGTGCTTTCTGCTCTTTTAATCTAATCAGTATATTTAATAAGACATTTTCAAAGCACTCTATATGCTCTGATGATCTGTCAAACATAACACCCTTACGCAGAAAAGAAGATTTATGAGTGAATATGCGAAATATCAACAGGCTTGTCTGAATGGGTGTACAAACTGAATAGCTCTCCCAATATGGCTAAAACTTTCAAAGATTTCAAAAGGACGATCTTAGACTATACATTGAAAAATTCCTTTTAATGAAAAATCTTTTCTCAATTACATCATCTTTTTCCCCGGTAAGCTTAGTAGCTGTATGGAGAGGAAGACGAAGTTTACTGAATGAAAAATGAAAGCCGTATCTCGAATACACCCAGTAAAAAGCTCGTGGAAAGTTTTTCGAACATTCTTAGCCCAAATATTTTCCGAAGGAAAAATGAAGTATCTATGCCCATAGAGTTACTTGAATTGTTGCTTTATTTATCTCGCACGAACTGACGAAATTAACTATTAGCAATTTCTTACCGGCTACGTATGAATCGTTGACGTCCTTCGGCGGTGTCCGAGTTGGCTATCAATTTCCGTTATCAAGAAAAATTTACTTGTTACTTCAACAAGCATAAATCTAGAATTTTAGATTAATTATTATTTGAGCTTAGATATTTTTTGACAAGAAGAGAACGAGGCAAGTATTGTATAAATGACTGAGCCGCCGAAGTTCCCTGATAACTCAACAAAAGTTAAGATTGTGATAAGGATTGGTTGATGAGTTTGGCGCGTGGTTTCTCTTTCTAAAAGTATTGTCAAGTTGACATAATTATAGATTTATTGTGCAGCCTCTTCTGTCAGAATGAAACTTTCGTTAATAAAGAAGAAACCGGATGAAATAAAGACTACCCTTCGATATGAAATAGAGTTCGCGAGGTGCTGCTTATGAAAAAACGCAAAACCGTTAGTTTTACCGCTTCCGCTGGATGAGGCGCGGTTAATATAACACGAGTCGAAATAACGGAGGTTGCCGTGCAATTGTGGTATAGCTCAGTGAAAACCTTCTGAAAGGGTTAGTCCGCCATTGCAAAATGGGCGGCACATCAAAGAGAAACCTTCAATTCAATTTATCAATAATGAGCTGGATGTTTGTTTTCGGAATACCTCTCAAATGCCTCAAATGCATGCAAAATCACTGTTTAATAAAATTGGCCACGTCTATGATCTTCAATTAAGTCTTTATGCTCTTATCATTAGCTTTTTAATAAAAGTAAGTCAGCCCCGTTAGAGCTATTCCAAAAAAAAAGAGTCGCTTGCTTCGTTAAGCGTTCTTGTCGGTTTTTAAATCAAAATATTTGAGTTAAGCCGCTGAAAAAAAAAATGAATGCTTCAAATTGGAAACTTCAACACTCATCAATAAAAGTGTTCCTGCTTGGATGAGAAACAATATTTAAGGCCACACATTCCGCCCAATTGTTTAGTCCACAAAGTAAATTAAAAATTTTGATTAATTCCGGTCGGCCCAATCAGGAGAAAGATCAAACAAACATTTCAATGATGACAGGATTTATATTCGTGAACTTCTGTCACCCGCTAGATAAAAAGAACGAACTTGAACCGTTTAAAATGGAGAGCCAACACGGGATAGCTCTTTTCACCTTACTAGTTGCCACAGTATTCGCGTACATGCAAGCCAACTCCAAGCTTTTGTGAGTGAGAATTCATTCCTGTGTTCTTGTACTTTACAAAGACAATCGTATTTAATTCAAACTTTCTATGTCATGTCTTTGGCAGGTTTGTGTCCTCTGTCGCAACTCTTGTCCCAAGCCTTATCTGTACTCGCATTCCAGGCTTGTCTAATAGGCAGAGAAATGTGTGCGACGAAAACCCAAAAGTCATTTATTGCATAAGAGAGGGTTATCGAATGGCTGCAGAGGAATGCAGGTTCCAGTTCCGAAAAAGCAGATGGAATTGTACTCTACTCGGCGAAACATCGGATTTCGACGACAAAGCCATTAGTAAGTGGGATTAACATCCTCTAAGATTGTCTTAAATGTCGGCTTTCTAATGAGACACTACAGGCCTCTCGAATATATATATCATGCAATTAACTATTGCCCTTCTTTGTCAGTCCACTTTAGTTGAACTGTTACAAAGTGTTTGTTTGTTTGTTTGAAGTAAATGGCTCACTATTTAGCTGAGAGTCCTCTTATGAATCCACTTATGTTTAAGTGTCTTGAAGTGTTTCCGGTATACGGCGACAGTATTTTCATTTGTCCAAACTTTCAGCTTCCCGACACAAAAGCTAGCACTTTTGGTGCTGCCTATAATTTTCTACTGACCGATCGATATTGTAAAACAAACCAATATGAAATTTTTGATTGTTTCTGTAAGGCAATTTTTAACGAGTTTGAATGTGTTTAAATTTAAAGTGAAGTTGGACATTTAAATGTTTAATTGTCCCAGTTCTGCGTATTACGTATAAGAACGGGCTACGTGGTATGATACTTTCATGCGCAGCTTTTTGAGACATCTGTTCATATCAAAGGATGTGTTTCGCTCTCGAGGAGTAAATATACAGCCTGCATTCCTTCTAGAACTAGTGTCCCAATAAGTTATGCTTGCAGAAGCTGCAAGAGCAATGTTATGTTATGCTTTCAATCCTCCTGAGCGATTTTATAGTGAAGGAGTAAAGATGATTGTAACTAGACCCGTCGTCTTCTAGAAATCATCCAGAGACTGATACTAATATTTTCAGCCATCGATCATGTGAAATGAAATTAAAAAAAATTATATTTAAAAAGCTATTTTAAGCATCCTCATTTCAAATTTATAAGGTTCTCACCAATGTCGATTATTTTAGTCCTTTTTTAATAAGTGGAAATCACTTGTTGTTGATAATTCGATAAAACTGGATATTTTTGGTTTCCTCTAAAATATATTACATGTTTCGACCAAGATCTAATGATGATAGTAGATATGAGTATTTAGCTGACAAAAAACTGCATCACTGGGATTTTTAGGGTTACTCAAGTATTTCATTTTTGCATCGATTAACTTGGAAAAGAAGGCTAGTCTTTTAAAGGAAATGCCCAAAACTTTGTTCTATGAAAACAATTATATATGCATGGAATAAATCTTTGCCGAAGGATTTGCTTCAGTCTGAAACTCTTGAACATATGTGGAAATATCAGTTGAAAGACTGATGCTAAAAGTTGTGTTCATTTTACGTTAGTGAACTAAAGGTGACCAATTATGCAAAGATGTCGATTCAAACGTTGTCTCTCCCACTTGTAGAGGGAACTAGAGAGATGGCTTACACGCAAGCTATCATTTCGGCTGGAGTTGTGTACACAGTCACCCGAGCCTGTAGTATGGGAAACCTCAGCGAATGCAATTGTGACAAGAAACTCACGGGTACGGAGAAAAAAAAGCACTACAAAGGTTGGTCGTGGGGTGGTTGTTCTGTCGACTTGAGCTTCGGTCTCGATCTTTCCAGTCGCTTCGTGAATGCTCGCGAGGAGAAACACAATGCCTTTTGGCTGATGAACAGGCATAACAGCAGGGCTGGTAGGCAGGTAGGAGATTTAATTAGATAATTGCTTTTCTAATTAGTTAATGATAATGACGGCTAAACAATTTCGGATTGGCCTGAATTGTCTTGGTCACACGAAGAAGCTTGTAGCCGTGAAATTTGCATATGAAAAGGGTTCATATTGCAGGAACTTTTAACCTTGATCCAAGATAATTATATATTGGATTATTACGCTCCAATTTGAACACGTGTACAAAATTCGTCGATTTCTCAACACAATTTGGCAAGATTCTTCAGAAACTTAAATCGAAAGTAAAATAATTAATTGGGCAACGACAATTGTATAATAAACAATATTGAATGTTTACTGAGGAAGACATTCAAACTTATTACAAAGTAACCGCAAAACCACGTCGTAGGAAATTAAAACTCTACGCTCAAAATGTTCATATCCTCAAGAAAAATAATGCATGCTCCCTAATATTAAAAAGTGCTAAAATGATTTATGATTTGTAAAGTTCGACTTCGAAATATTTGACCTCGCTTAAAATGATCAATAACAAAAAATGACGGAACTCGAATTTTTTTATCTTTGTTTCCCTTTGACTACAGCAGACAAAAAAAAGCAATCTGAAGAGTGAGACATATTCTTATTTTTGGACTTGTGTATAGTTTATTTAATCGTGTTGTGACTCTCTCTCTGGGAATGGCTCAGTATCTTTTAATCTGCCTCATGATTGAGAACTGAGAGAGTCATACAATATGCAATAAAGGACTCTGTCCAGATGAAATGACCCGTGTTAACAAGGAAACCGATAAACTCGAAAGAGAAGAAGGTTTACGCTAAATTTTTCTTATCTCTAACGGAAAGTGTGATTTGGTCAAAATTTTCCGTATGAGATAAGTTTTGCTTGCAAATATTTAATGCTAATATTTAAAACTCCTTATGCCATACCACCACCTCGCTCAACTACTGGCTGTTAGCTTTATATTTTACAGTAATCCGTCCTTTAACTAAGTTGACCATGAAATACCAGCTTGAGTTAGTTTAACCGGAATACGCAATATATAAAAGTGGCTATGGTCTAATGACTGTTCATTCCCTTCCAACATTTTTGCCAACTTACGTAATGTGCATACAATGCCCTCTGAGTAAAGTCAACGTTTGGATGAAAGCAATAGTTTTTCAAACATGCGCTGGAATTCATTGCCTAACTCAGAAATGAGCGAAATCATACTGTGAAGAGAATGCTTGATACGTGAAGCTCTGCGAAGGTATGCAGTACATCAGCGATCGAACGAAACTGTGCTTTCGCTTAGACAGTTTCAGTTACGCTCACCAATAATAAAGGGCATAGGAAATTTTAAATCTATCATATTTAGAAATGAATTCGAGAATTTGGGAAAGCAAACTACACTTAAAGTGATACTTGTAACTAAAAGCGCTTTCCCATGGTGGAGCAATGTTAACTTTTGTGGATCCGAAAACCACTAGGCATGGTTCGAAAAGAAAGCATTGTTTAGTTGAATTTTAGTAATTAAAACAAAGTGAGTTCTCTTAGCCCGCCTGCAGAGATTAATATTAACGGCGGAATCTCTAACAGCTGGGAACCCTGAAAACAAACATTGACAGCGCATCTTTTATGTTGATAACAATTTTTTTAATATGTCGAAAAATTTATTTTTGGAATAAAAGAAATTTAGTTTCCCACGCCTAAAATTGAAACCGATATTCCTGAGATTATTTTAAGAAACGGAAAGAATCGTCTTCTTCCTCTTTCTTGAAGAAAAAAAAGGCCGTGAAGACTGCAGATACTTCCGCGATGGAACAAATACAATTTTACTATCCAGTTGGCTGTATCATAAAGTGACTGAAAGGAACATTGATGGCGGTCATTAACTGTAGAAACAGGATCTCAGGAAATGTTGCTACGCGCATAAAATCAACAATTTTTTTTATTCCTACATATTAAGGAGCACACGAGACTTCAATTACTTTACACTTAGCGAAATGTTACCTCAAAAAGACGTTTTCCTTAACTTAGTTGCTTTTGGCTATTATCTTTTGGGAATTTCTTGGTTTAAAATGATTCTCAGTGCAATCTCGTTTATAAAATACGTTTTAAAATCGACTCAGGGCATGTTAGTCACACCGTCTCATTCGCTAAATCGCAGTTTACGAAAGCCTCATAATTCGTCAAACCATGGCGCTGAGTACTAAAAGCTATAAAGAAACTCTTTCAATGGTATTTGATTTTGAGGTTCACCTTCGTGTGCGCCTTTGTTTACACATTGCTTCCTATAAATTGGGAGTCGTTTTAGAGATATTTTTATTGAAAGAACTGTAAAATTCTTCCGTTAATCTTTGGTTAATTTTTAGTTTTCGGCTTAAAAGGGAAAGGTGGGTTTAACTTGAATAAGATCTTTCCGTTTTGCTCTCGAATACAAAAGAATATTAGAAAAAAATGAATCTAAACCGAGAGATATCGATGCTAACTTAATCACTAAAGTGAGTTGCATTTATTCCTTTTGAAAGTAGTAAACATGAAGTGCTATTTAGGAGAGACCTGTATTTCCAATTTGTTGCGTGTCCCGACCTTAATTCTATTCTTCTCAGTTCGAATACAACCAAACAGCATAACGACTTTGAGCATGTAGCTCTGAAAGATACTTTCGCGGCTATTATAGCTATCTGATAGTTTAGTCTTCAGTGAGAATTATACCCGTAAATACAGTACATTAGGCCCCTCCCCACCGCACCCCCAAAAGCGGGACGACAAATATTAAAGTAATTTTGTGAGGGAACCCCCTTTAAAAAGGGGGTCCTAACGACTGTGCTAGTTAGCTGACTGAGGAGGGAGGTGTGGTATAAGAACCTTAAGCGGGCTCAAACGAAATTTACACGTTTGCTAAAAATTCTCCATTTCATTTTTGTGGATCAAGTACCTACTGCTTGCATCTATATCCACGTGGAGTTAAACACGACTTTACATTGCTACATAATCATTTTTGTTAGAGAATTGACAACTAATTAAAGAACTTAGTAATTAGACGACCAAAACAAATAATTTAGAGGATGCGTTACAAAGATCATCTTTCCACAAGGAGGACGCTACATGGTTTGGAATGGTCACTGTCTGTTGTTTGTCGAAGCAGAACGCAGCCTTAACTTTTCACCTAAACCTGGGACGTTTTTCTCGCTTGCTTTAGGTTGTGAGACAGAAATTGGTTAAAGTTTGCAAATGCCATGGATTGTCAGGGTCCTGTGTAGAGCAAACATGCTGGATGGCCCTGTCCTCTTTCCGTAAAGTCGCAGAAAGGTTGAAAGAGTATTATCACACTGCTTTGAGAGTTGATGCCTTGACGGGCGCGACCTCCGGAGGGGCGAAGCCTGAACACCTTGTGTTACAATCGAATAATTCAAAGAAGCCACACACGCATAGCCTGGTGTATCTAAATGACTCTAAGGCATTCTGTAATCGGGATCCGAAACTTCGAATCCCGGGAACCCGAGATCGCATCTGCAACACGACCGGCTCTACTGAGGAAGACCACTGTGATGTCATGTGCTGTGGGCGCGGCCACGACACGCATAATCTTACTGAAGTGGTTCAGTGTAGCTGTAAATTTCATTGGTGTTGCGAGGTCAAATGTCATGAGTGCGTCAACAACGTAATAAGGCACACGTGCAAGTAGATGGCGATCATGTGCGTGGCACAGCTTACATTGACATTTAAATCGGAATTTGAGGGCCTAAGTGCTAACAGCGAAAATCGCCATGTTAAAATGAACTGATTAAAAGAACAGTTCATACCATGTACAGAAGAACAGTCATACAATCGGACGTGTCGAAAACGTCGTAAAATACAGGTGTAACTAAGGCACCAATAACAGTAACCATTTAAGGACTGCAGGCACTTAAAGTGCTTTTTATCTGTAAAGATGTTCACATGTCATTTATGAAATGTCGTGTTTCCTGACGGAAAGTGATCCACTTAGGATCACATATGATAAGATCGAACTGACTTTGAGATATATGTAAACTTATCTAATTATTAAAAGGTAGAACCGTCAAAAAGTTAAGTCATATTATTGTAGATGTATTGAGATGTATAGAGTATAAAAGACTAATAGCCTTGATTAAAAATCTAGAATTTAAAGTTAATGGAATATCCGTAGGTTCTTATACCACACCTCTTACGCTCGAGAAATGAGGAATGCTATTTGTCTGTGGTAGCCTGCATATCAATCGTAGCCTGCATATCAATGGGGCCTGCATATCAATGGTAGCCTGCATATCAAAGGCAGTTTTAAGATTTAAGATACACGATTGTTTTTCGTGTTATTTTCTGCTTTTCAATTCTGCTCCAAACACAGTTTTGTCATTTTACGATAACTTATCTCATTTTTGTTTTTATTTAGGTCTAGAGAGTAATTAAAGCTAACGCGCGCAAACTACCCAATTGGAATGAAGATATCGTTTCTCGGCCCGTGAGTTACAAGATTCATAAAAATAACCTCTGTGTAGCTGACGTAGCATAATTTACTTCGTTTCGTTGCATTTCTTTATTTAATTTAAAGTAAACTTGAAACATCAACTATCAACCGTCGACCGTCGCGCTTAGATCGTAGCTGTAGAATTGTTCCGAGCGCGGAGGAATTTTTTATAATGACAATTTATGTTATCGCTAACATTTTTTGGTGAGGGAAGGCTTTATTATTTTTCCAATCATAAAACTTTCTCCAGCTTTTTCGTTTCTTCTTTGAAATTACCCATTTAAGTTATCCGGTATTTACATAATGAAAATTTTCATCAAGCCAGTACAAAGTCAAAGCCAGTAGGAGGTGTGGTATAAGGCGAAATCAGTCTACTTTTAGAGCAATTTTTAATGAGTGTCGAAACAATGGGGGATTGCATTGGGTTGCTTTTTTTTCATCTGTGATAGGAATTCTAAAGCTCCTAAAATCCAGTCGATAAATAAGACGAGAAATGAAATAAAATCTCGAATTGGTCCTTCGAGGAGGTTCAGCTCTCAAGTGGCTCCTATGAGGATGTTTCTTTGTTCTGTTTGGAAGTTGCGATTACTTTGGTTTTTATCAGTTTACGACACTCATAAGAATTGCGCTCTAATAAACCAATTAAACGAAGTATTCGTTTGTGAAAGTGTTTTCTTTTTGCATCGTATAGTCGGTAATAGAAAAAAACTGTCGACAATAAGATTCCGTTAAGAATGAAAAGATGAACTAAGTCACTGAACTTTTTTCAAGTTCTGCAAAATAACTAGACGCAGGTGGCCGCTAAAATTTTAGTTTTAGTTACCTTGGCACTTAGACTACGAGTAATCTCTCTTCGGCGAAGTCTCTTGTGCGGATCAAAAAGTGATTTTCGGTAAAGATATGACGTCAGCGCGTCGCGCTGAAATAGGCGCCTCACACTTAGAGTTCCGAGCGGCGCCTAACATTTTTTCCTTCTTATCATTTTTTGGATCACGCGACGGACTTCGTCGAAAAGAAAGAGCTGCTCTGAGTCTGTCTAATGATTGCCACAAATCTTTTGTCTGTATTTTTAGCTGAAAATACAAGACAGTGTTTTTTGTTGTTAATCGGTTGATGTAGAAGCGTGTCAGAAGTAGTCGCACTGTTAAAGCGGTGGCCATCCGCGTCTTTGGAAAGTGTTTCCTAACATCTCTATTGGTAGGACAAATCGCCGTTGAATTATCAAGAAGAGCGTTAAAGATTAAATCTAGTTATCAAAAATTTCAATGAAGTGTATAGTGTGAGAAAACAACGGGGCAAATATTAAAGGTTATTTCAAACTTAGTTGTGCCGTGCTCTGCGCCATGTTGGATGGTGTGACGCTTCACAGTTTCCGCTTTTTATCTACGTGATGCCAGATAAAAGTGGCAACGTCTACGATCCAAAATGGCGCTCACGGTTCAAAGTTCAAACGTCAAGATTGCAAATATTTGTTCTCGGTTTTCATACATTTTGCTTCTTGTTACCCAACTTTTCCATACGGATTGCTATACTACAAGATATTTCCATCATTTCAATGGCAACCTGTTTCACCAATGAAAGCTTCCTTTAAATCTCCATCTTTGAGCAAGTGAAGTTACTTCAAGATAAGTTATTCCCTCCATATTTTTAACTCATTACAAGTTACTATCGTTTGCGAGTAAATATATTAAAGTTAGTGTCTCTATCTTGAGTAAACTGTTATGATTTGTCTTGTAAAGCAACTCGAGTGAGATGGCTCCTTTATCCGATTTATTTTAGGAAAGGCTGACGCTCAAGATAAGTTGGGGCGGTGTGTAAATCCTTTATCAACTACCAGTTGATAATAAACCAATTTTTTTAACTTATAGTAACTCCATTTTTGAAGTATTTGTTTCACAGAGGGTTTAAAATGGACTTTTCTGTGAAAGAGTCCCCTGGAAGTCCGCGGGTTTCATATCTTGGCGTAAACCTCAACCCGTTTTCTTTCCTAAACGAATATAAATTACGAGAAAGAAACATAAAGCACTTTGGCCAGTATGCTTTTTATTGTAAATCTTTGCTTTACCGGGAACTTTTTTCACTAGGCTCTTAAAGACAGTCTCAAATTACACTGCCATTGCCATGGTACCTCTGGATCATGCGTGTCAAGAACCTGCTGGCAAGATCTTCCTGGTTTTAAAAAGATAGGCTCTCAATTAAAGCAACGCTACCTTAAAGCCTCTCGTGTTAAAACTATTAAATATCCATCTCCAAACGGTAGACGAGATGCGTATCTTTGGTTGGAGTTCGGCGACAACAAGCCTCCTTCTAGAGACTTGGTTTACATCGAAGACTCCCCGAATTACTGCGATCGAGATCGAAGGAGGAAAATTCCCGGAACAACAGAACGAGAATGCAATAAGACATCAGATGGAATCGATGGCTGCGAGCTGATGTGTTGCGGCCGAGGCTACAATACTCATGAGATTGTCAAAAAGTGGCGTTGCAATTGCAAGTTTCATTGGTGTTGTCATGTTGAATGCGAGAACTGCAAAGAGCGTGTGGAAATATTCAGATGCAAATGAAGAGTTATTCAACAATCAATGCGTAAAATGCACGCGAGTCATTCAAAATCTCATATTTAAACTTGTGCAGTCACTTTTCCTGCTCGATTTTATGTGTTCATCGAGGAAGAAAGAAGAAAGCCAGTCTTAAGATAAACGAAGAAGGCATTTTGCATTTTCCGTTGACCATTGGCTTACAACGAGTTTCTATCCTTTTGGAAATGTAGATAGTTATGGGAACTGTAAATACAAGTTGTAAAACGAATTGATAAATCCTAAATATTTATCACAAATAATTCGGTTTTAACGACAACCGGCCTTCTATCGGCTTGCTGCCGAACGACTGCCCTGTCCATCAATTTAGTAGATTCTATTGTTGAATGACAGAGGATCATCATTGAAATTAGTATCTCAGCGAGGAATAATGACACTTAAGGTTTTAAGATTTTAATGAAAGGCTGGGACTTTTTTATTTCTTACAGTCAAGGTAGGAGGCATCGGTTTTTGTAATTTTGGATGGCAAATTGAGGGAAAAGTTTTCGTTTGTGGCTTTGTAATCGATGAAGAGACAAACGATGGAATATATTATAAAAAGTGACGAAGAAACTTGCGTACCGAATTGATAGCTCTCGATGACTGTGCTAAAACTCGAGACTAGGAAATTGGGTCGACTATATCGAATTCGTCCCGATAAACTGCATAATAATCTTACAAAAGTCAGTAAAAGCGGTTGTACGACTGCAGCAAATGCAAAAAGATGAGCAATTCATAACTTGATATCATAGCCTGCCAGTTTTATCTCAAGGCGCTACAATTTCAAATAAAGACAAAGTTTGTCAAAAACATTTGCTATCATTAGCGATTATTGATTTTATTCTCGTTTAGAAACTAAGGCCTTAGGCATCTTGAAAATGATCTTTAAGGTTTCTCAAAACTGCAAACCAGATGTTTCTTTATTTTGATGCCTTTTGACTTGTTTTAAATTATTTATTTAATTACAAATGTCAGTCAAAAATGTCCCAGGGAAATATCGTTTCAGCATATTTATAATGGCATTAAGTTATTAGTATCTTTCTATATAATTTGCAAGCACGCCGGGGACACTGAGTTTAATTATCAATGTTCCCAGGTTTTAAAGGGAGACATGATCTGGCAGTAGTATTTATAATCTGCACACGCTGACCACATTGATGCTAAGTGTCGGAAATTAGAAGATTGCTTACCAGGCTTATATTCATAGATGTAGCCATTTTGTATAAATATTTTATCTTGAATACTGATTCAACACAGCGGTCAAACGTTTATGCATGTGCGAACGTTTTAACGGTCAGGTAGCGCGCTTCTAGGCTGTCACAACCAAGTTGTCTAACAGGAATTATAAACAACTGCAAAAGCCAGTGAGTCACGGTGTTTCAAAAGCGTATAACTTTTTCGGTTAGGCTGAATACAGAATGATGAATTAATTTGATACCAGTCCCTGAATAAGATTCGTGTTCGAAAAGTCTCGAGTTTTCCTTTTGCTTACCTCTTTATGAATGTGTCAGCGTTCTTTCGCTTATTTTGCCAGACAGCTGTTGTTTCTTACGTTTTGCTTTGAAATTTTGCACAGGAAAATGGCGCACGGCAGGCCAGAACGGATCCACTTGCGTATGTCCGACGTTTGACCACTGAGTTCATTGATTCAAACAGTGTACACATTCATTTCATTTATAAAATAAGAAAAGTAGAGATTAGAAAATAGATGTACAGGAAAAATCGTTGTTGTGCCGTCTTATGATGTGCTTTAAATTTGCCACATTTCACTTAGTTGGTGTTTAGAAGGTGGTCCACGAGAATTCCTGAACAAGACGTTACCCAAAAGACCTGAACAACGAGTCTGTATTTTTTAATCTATCAGGGCGTAGTATCTCTGTTTGTTGTCGACCAATCAGAGCACGCACATCTTTATTATCTGAGCAATCGTAATAGCACTCAAATATTGCGGTCAGATTTTTCTGTTTCTATTATTAGAAAGGCAATGTTCATTTTTAAACTCAGTTGAGCCGAATTGATTCCGTGCAATCGTACCCGCTCTCCTGTCAATTTGTAGAATTTGGGCATTTTGCACTACAGCTAAGAATGCAATTGTTCATTGAGTTAGACTCTTCTTGTCTCACACAGAAGACTCTTTTTCCCTTTTCGAAATATGCGAGATGGAAAAAAATTGGAAATTGAAAGTGCCAAAAATAATGAAAGTATCACTTATTTCCAGCTGAGAATATAATGATAACACATTTGTCAAGAACATGCCTCTTTTCTGTCCTGTTATCACACATCCAAGCTCAAAGACAACTCAAAGCGTAAGGAAACGTTAAAACCAGCTATTGTACGTTCATGTTATTAAACTTGTGCTTCTAATTCGTCAATAATCGTTGGATGTTACTGATTATGACAATGTTTTCTATCAAGCCAGATATTTTTGCATTTTATCTTTACGCGAGCCAAGGCTTGATAAATCTCGGCATCATATGAACATCCAATCAAATAATTATTCGATTCAAAGCTGTTGTCTGTATCTATGGCATCAATGAAAGTGCCAGCAAGAATTGGCTGCGTGTTTATTTCCAATCACTATCGAAGTGGCGACACTCATCCATAACGCGATATACTACCAAGCAGCAGATTTTGTACTTCTTTTGATTAACCTAAAGCCCACATCGTAACCTGTGAGATTACCGCTTAAAATAATTGTCCGCTTATGCACAAATACCGTCCGACCGTGCTTCGCTGTATATTTGATGTGTGATGTTCTGCTCATGCGTGGTTGTGCCTATACTCGTTCGCTTTTTCTGGCTATCGGTAAGAAATTCCCGAAAATAGCTGTGAAAACGGACTCAGTGGTCGTGTAATAAAACCATTATATTGCAAAATATAGTGATTTGTGTCTTGCAGATCAGATAGTTATTTGCCTGCTCGCCACAGATCACAATATATTGCTACTCTAGCCAAAATTGTTGATTGTACGCAAAAGTTTGACAGCAGCTGTTATTTATATTTTCTTAAGTTTTATGTTATCTTCGAATTACAGCGTGCAAATGATGAAAAGTGAAGAAATTCAGCAACAATTAACATTTTCCTTGATCTTGACAACTTAGATATCGCTAAAATTTCATTTTTAAAGCTCATCAGAACTTAAGGTTGAGCCTGCTTTTTTAGAATTAACACGAATGGTACAGACTTCCTTCTTCCCCCATAGCTGACGCTCAACCTGCACATGTCATGAGAATAAAATAAGATTTTATTTCATTGGTAGATTACATTTTAGGTCAAGGCAAAAGCATCCACCTGGTCCGCTAGTTTCGCGCCCTTCATATATATAATTCATCGATGTGGAAGGAAAGATTTGAACAGTTTTGGCTTACACTTAGGCCCTCATCATATTAGCGCCGCGGGACGAGCGTTTTATTGTTCAGAGGAAGATTTAAGAAGAGTTGGGGAGGGGCCTCCGGGGGTCTGGGTGCTGAAACACTTACAGTCGACTTTTCACCGGCTAGCGTCGTTTAAAGACTCAACATTCCTTGCGGACGAACAACGCACGCGCTGAAGAGCTAATAATAATTATTGCTTACAGGATAGAAGAGTTTTAGTTGAAAAGTTTGGGTGTTGTTTTCTTTACTTCTAAACAAATTAGTTGGATGAATCCTATGACTTCAGTCATGATTGGTAGTTCGTTATTTATTTGTGATCTGTTGATTTTACCCGTCAGATGTTATCCATTTTCTCGCAAATGAGTTAAGAGAATTTGGTGTTTAATCAGGATAACACTCTCTGGCTCATCACCCCTCACAAAACGTACTGATAACGAAATGAACTTTTAGGGGAGCTAAATAATTTCTTTTACATGATGCATCACTGATCTGCATTTACAGAGTATTTAGGGTTATTTTTGTGAACAACGGTGAACATCGTATCGATCAGGTCCAATATCAAACACAGATCGCACATTTTTTGCATCATGGTTCTCAAAAAAAAATGAAATGTTCGTGTATGAACATCACAGGAAATCAGTTTTCGTCACACAGTGACTTGTCCCTGTAACCCTTCATTGGTCTTTAACTAAAAGAGCGAGAGAGTTTGGCACAAGTCATAATGACAAGTAACTTTCGGGAGCGTTCCCATCTATCTCTACCTCAGGGACGGTAGAGAACGAGTCAGCGATGTCTATTGTGCGGCTGTATCGAATAGGACTAGGAATTTCCTCAATGAAACTATCTCATGAAACAGGAAGACTTTTGAAATATGATATTGGTGCACACGAGGCATCGAGCCTAATAAATGTACGCTATTTAAAAGGCAGGAAGTTTTCAACGGGCCGTATTTTTAAGACTAAGGGCACAATGTTTTCGTAAATAGACCGACCTAGACCAGTAAATAACTTTTTTTCTGATGGTTTGCTTTTTTCTGCTTTGCCGTGAATGGCGGGGAAAACACTCGGATCGTAGTCCGTATTGTAAAAAGCTTAACCAGTTCGAGCGCGCTGTTAGCAAATCAGATTCTAAGAATTCAGATTCTTGCCAGCTGAGATGCTTCAGAAAAAAAAACCAAGTTCTTTCGATTTTACGAGTAACTCGGACAATCAGGGTAACAGAGAGAATATTTCTTTTATAAAAAGCTTTTTCCTGTAAGAATGCTGTAGTTTACTTTATTGATCCCGACTTTCCCTCTCTCATAGCCTCCTTGAAATGTTCAATCATTTAGTCTGTTTCACACGCTACCGACTAATCATTATAAAACTGATTTATCTTATGCCACACAATGGCTGCGTCTTAGTTAAAGCACAGTATTTCGCAGGCAATACCCGGCATGCTCTCTGTTAGAGACGAAGAGCAAGAAAAATAAAGGAGGTCTTGACATGAGAAAGAGGCAGGCGGAAAATATTTCCCGTCATTTTTCTATTCCAGTCTCCTACCATCTTCACCTGTTTTCACGCGCTGCTTTCACGAATTTATCGTCTCCACTGAAACTGTTCAGTGCAATCAACAGTGCAAAATAGTTTATACGGAGAAAAACCTGATTCAACTCTTTCTACCCTCTAGAATGACATGCAATTTTACGTTTTGTGTTAAAACAATTTCTTTAGAAAATTGGACAAAATTTAAAATTATATAATGACCACGAAGATGACGCGGCTGAATGTGAAATGTTACAAAGGTTCTTGTGCGATGCCGATTTCGCGAAATCCTCACCAAATCCACTATTACATCAATGTTGATTTGCTCAGTGATTTAGCGTTTCTTAATATACCTTTTATCAACGTCAAAAATCCCAGACTGGTCTTTCGAACGAATGTGGCAAAATCACGCACCCGGACCAACCGGCTTTCAACCGGAATTTCGGGTTACCCGAAAAACTTGTTTTCCAAACTCCTGACTTCTAATCCTTTGTCTCAGCCGTTCGGTTTAAGCGTCAAATTCTCCTCTGGTTACCATATCATAATCCTTTTTGCGCTCTTTTCTCGAAACCAACAGTTTGACGATCATCAGGAGAAGAATTAACAAGCACATGCAGACAATCAAGTATAGAGTCCGCATCGAGATTTCACTAAATCGCGGGAAATACGGAGAGGCTTTGGGAGGTTGCAAGAAAGAAAGTTCCTCTGGTGTTTTCCCATCCAAAAAGAAAATCTCTGAGCCATCACGCGCCTTCTCTGTGTTGTTAGAGCGATTTCCATTCTTTATAATCTCAACGGACAGCATTATCAAGGAGGGTATGGTCATGTGTGTAGCATTCACTATCGACGAGCCATTCTCGAGCGTTTCGTTGCGGAATCTTGCCTCCAAGCTCTTGTTTATCACTGCTGTGCCTTGTAGCCCACTTTCTATGGCGTAGGTAGCACTAAAGACAATTATTAAAACGATAAAACAGAGGAGATTGGCCATTTCTACCACTTAGCTCCCTGGCAGAGTTTGCATTCAGTGAATAAACTTCAACGAGGTCAAATTTCGTGATTAAACATTGATGACGAACGACGCAAAACTCGCTATTCAACAGGTGCCAAATCAACCCATCAACGGGTTATTAAACAGTCGCACAAAAAAACCTACGACAACTTCTTCATTTATTTTTGATTGATTATAACAATTTTATCGAGCCCTTTATTAAGTTGGACATCGAGTTTAGTTTTTGGCTGTTCTGATCTGAACCAAATTTGTACTGTTACTGGTGTCATGACCGGAAGCAAAAGAAGTCACACAGAAGCTTACTTCAATGCATTCTTGCGTGGGTCAATAAACGGCCTCTCACCTTTTTACGGTTCAAATCCAGCTTTCGTTTTCCATCTTTGTTTGCATGCGTTCACCATAAGAAATTTAAAACTGAACAGACCGGCGCAGAGTCATTTGATAGAGCATTTAACCTTATCTCGTTCCCAAAAGTGCTCACACAACTTCCCATATAGATTAATCTATATGAGGAGTTGCGAGTGCACTTGAGAACGAGATAAGGTTAGTGCAATGATGCATTGAAGTTAAACATGGATGAAACTGCCATCGAATATACAACGACTGAAACTTCTCTCTGTTTCGAAAAAATCAACGATACCACGAGCAGGTTGTTTGAAAGCTATAAAGAGGAATTCAAACTTTCCAGGCAGAAACAACTCGAGGCAAAATCGTAATTTGCGAGATTACAAAATTGAAATTGCCTGTCTAGGTGCTAGATCCAAGACCTTTTAAACGAGTTCGAACAAGATCGAGAGGTCGTCGCTAGTGGAAGATGGGAGTGGGGATGGGGGAGTTTTCTTGACTGAAATTTAACCCCTCGGGAAAAAGCGATGTCCGACAATCTAAGGCCAAGGCACCGTATTTTAATGCCTACTCTTAAGTTCAATTTTTTACTATTTTGCAACAATTATTGTCACGCTATAAGAAAACGATCTTCAATCATACAAAACTTAAGTATAAATTAAAAAATAAGTTATCAGTTATCATACTGATATTGACATTTGTTTTGACGCTAGCTTTCTCAGTTTAGGGAGATCGACCGAAACCTTTCAGCTCCCCTCCCCCACTTAGATCCTGCTCGGCTTCGTAGACAACAGGGCCGAAATAGAATCGCATTCCAACATACCGAGGTAATCAAAAAGCACACAAATTTTATTAAAACATTAAAATAATGTATTTTCATGATGTGAAACCAAACACTCTTTAAAATCTTTGGTATATGGTATTATTCACATGCACCTTAAAATTTTTGCCCAATGTGGGCTATAAAGCCTTATTAGTATTTAAAAACTCACTCAAGAAAGATGCTTTGTTTGAGAGGGAAAGGTAAAATATTTACCTCCCCATCCACGTTCCATTATACATCACTATAGTCAGTCAAACGTTCTTTAAGATTTCCCTGACATGTTTTCCTGATTTTTTCATGTACCCTTGCACATTTAAACTTTGATAGGCATTTCTTTGACAAGCAAACCTATTCAAAATTACATTCTAGGTGTTGTTCGAGAAAAATGAAAAGAAAAATTGTCGGGGAAACATTTTCAGGAAAAACTCGATAGTTTAGCTTTAACTATAGATCTTTTACGGTTAAAATCTAAATAAAAACGGCTGCGTACAACGAAAGGTGTCTCAGATAGTTTTTTAAAAAATACGTAATTTCCCGTTGTAAAAAATGATGTTATAACAACTACGTGAGCTAACAAGCAGAATCAAGAACTGCAATTTCTCACAAATGGAGAGCTAAATATTCTCTATAAGGAGGATTGAGGCCCCGTCAGTTCTGCGCCGGAGAAATTTGAAACTCAACCTTACTTTAGGAATGCCATAACCATTAATAAGAGAGGATTGGCAACACTTGACCATTTCAGAGTGAAAATCCCGTTCACAAATTTCTCCGACGATATGGATAGGACCCCAGTGTAAATCCCATGACAAAAAAGGACACGATCTGAATCACGGGTGATCGATGCCATCCTTACTATCGAAGAAATAAAAGACGTTTTGTATGACTTGAATTAAGGTTTATATCACTGACCGATAAAATGAATCCATTTCCTTGGTTGGCAAAACTGGTATGGTTTTCCTTTAAAGAGTTGGTCTGATTTTTTTCTCAGTGTTTTTGAAACAGTCTATAGGTGGCTTTGGAAACAACGTGAGATTACAAGTTCTATTATATATATATATATATATATATATTCTATAGTATATATTGGGATTTGGTTTAGAACTAGTTTGTAGTAACCCTTAACTAAAAATATTCCAATAAATGAAACAGGAATAGCAGATCAAACAAATTCTCTAAAAGAGATATTTGTGCACAGCCGAGAACCAATAGCGGATCCAAAAATTTCGGATAAGGAGGAGTCCAAACTTTGATTGAAAAAAGAAAACACAGTCCAGAGCCTGAATAAGCTATGAGACATTTTAAGACAAGCAAATTTTATATTGTTCATATTCAATGTGTCACTTAAACCCATGTGTTAAAATAAGAACTCATTTCAAGTGAGTGACCCTACGCAAAACCAAACCTAAAATAAACACCACGACCAATCATAGCAAAGGTTAACATCAAAAAGCCATTGAGAACTCAAAATAAATACAAGCAAAGTTTTTTCAGCGCTGTAAAAGGCGAGTGACCAAGTCATGATTGGTTTTGGAATCTGACTGGTTAAAAAGTTGGCCCAAGTTTTGACCAACACTGAGCAAAGTAAAGTAAAACCAAGCAATCCTTTATAACATTTGACACTCAGTTGAAAATCACTCCATAAGTAAACCACCCAATTTCATGAGACGTAAAGTAATTATTAGTACTATTCATCAATCTGCAACACACAAATATTAATATCTACGAGCCCGTTTGCTTGACAGTGCTCCATATAACTTATAATACCGATGCAATAAAAACTGCCTACCTACAGTATCCAGTGACTGCAATTAAAAAAAGCCCAGCTTCATTAGCTTTCTACAGCTGTAAACAAGTAGCACAACGTACAATGCCTGTTCACCGTAGTGTTCTTTGCTTATGGTACCATTGTTTGGGTTCTTTCAATGGACAATACTTCTCAGCAATTTTCATGAACAGGTGTGTCGCGTCTCTATCTGTTCACACTGCTTGCAACGTATCTCACAGCACCAGTGAAATTTACATTCACACCTCTTCTTCACCCTGACTTGAGCCTTCTGAAATCCACGTCCGCAGCATAAATTTTCACAGCTATCAGAGCCGTACGACGCCGCGGTACACAGCCGTCCCACTGTACTGGGAAAGTCAGAGCTTTTGTCGCAGTAATTGGGAGATTCCTTAGTGAACACCAAACTTTCTTTCCCAGCTTCTTTATTGGTGCTCCTCAATCTACCATTATCTCGACGATATTCACCATTTCGCTTCCTCTTCACGATGTTCAGAACTTCCAAAGTGTCTTTCCGCTCCATTTTAACACGGACAGCATTGACGTATTTCTCGTGAAGTAAGTCACCGATTTTCCGGAATTCTGACAATACGCGTTGACAAGTTTTCATGTTGCACGAACCGGATATCCCGTGACACGAACAGACTACCTTGGCTTCCTTTATAACCACCTAGAAGGGAAGAAATAAAGATAATATGACAGTTAAAGATTGTCACACAGCAGAGTAAAAGGACTGTTACCAATTAAAAGTGATACTGGAAACGTGGTGCGTGTGTAAAATTAATTGACATGTCAAAAGTTCACGTTATCATAGAAGCATAAATTGCTTCATCATGCTTGCGAGGTACCACATGTTGTGGCCTAAAAAAGCAAAGTTAGGTTTTTGAAAAAAATTATGAAGGTTAAAAAATGTATCTCAACACCCTGACAAATAATTTTCATTAGATTCGAGCACTTTATTTATTAAGAATTTCTTATCCGTAGTATACATATTGGAAGTGTGGTAGAACATGACACTATAGCATATTGCCATACTTGTTGACAAGTTAAAATGCGGTTTTATCTTCATGCGGCCTGCAGAGCAAAGAACCGTGCGATTTAGGAAACAAAAGAAACGATGTAGTCCAAGTTTTCTCTCTCATGAGAAAGAAACTCGCCCATCTATACCGGGCTTAAGACGTTCATCCTTAAAGATTTTAAAGTCATCAGAGATATGGGGTGAAAAGGCAGAGAAAAAGGTGGGAGGGAAGAAGAAATTGAGGGAGAAGGAAAGAAAAGAGATGGAAATGAAAGGAGGGAAGGAAAAGAATATAAAGATTGCTGAGAAAGAGAGGAAAGGGATGTTAGAGATTGAAAGGAAATGGGAGGATTGTAATCAAAACATGGAATTTGATAGGCAGCTAATTGGAAAAAAAGGATAGATGAGAAAGATAGGTTAACTAATGTTGACGAAAGTGAAGGAAGGGAATGAAAAAAAAAGGGAGAAAAGGGTGAAAGGAAACTAGTGGGGATTGGAGATGAAAATCAAGGGAAACAATTAAAGGGCAAACAAGAGTTAAGAAAGATTAGGGAAGAAAGGAGATAAAATTAAAAGGAAACGAATGGAAAAATTAAGGTTTAAGGAATCTGCCAAAGCAAGAAAGACTGTTTCTTTTAAGTATACTTAAATAACATATATTTTTCAGGTCTTTAAACAAAAACAGTCACAAAACCGCAAACAAGTTCTATCATATATCTTTTTACAGAGGTGATAAAAAATCAGATCTCGGAATGATTAACGCGCAATTCCTGTACACTAATCTGCCTTAACTCATTGAAAACTAACCATGTGTAATTTTTAGAGTTGGCCCGAAATAGATGTTGGAATTTGATATTGAGGTTTCCTTTTCCATTTATTTGAATTTTCCTTTTTTGTCTCAAATCATCATCACGCATTACAAACCTAAGAGAAAGAGGAAAGTCCTTTTGAACTAATGTTAGATTGAATCAGAGCTACTATGACAGAGAACGTTTTGGTGAATCAAGATGGGTCTCGTACAGACCAACTCCTCAATGCTCTTTTCACATCGTGAAACAAAAGAGTTCTTTGTAAATTGATCTCGGATTGAGTATTCATTATCAATTGAAAGCGATTTACAAGATAAGATAAGCTTGTCACTTTGTGCATAAATTCATTTTCAGTCTATGGCCGAGTTAAAATATTTTTAAATCAATGTTTGGAAGGCTTCAATTTAAAATTCAGTTTAAATCTGTTTTCCTAATCAACAAAGCTAAAATTGTAAAACCAGTTTGAAAATATCTTTCATCGGTTAAATCCGCAGGTGAAATAAAGGTTACCCGTGTTTCTAAAAAAATATTCGCATTCAGGAACAGAGTTAAATTACGTTGTCTGTTATTATCTCGGTAACGATTAAAATCTGAGGTCTCTCGCTTCAAGATAAACTATATCTTTGGGTCAAAATAACACATTTCTTTGTATTTACATTGAAATGTATATAATCTGAAATCTCGAATGTAATACTCCATTTTTTTTCTTTAGCTAGTCTTTTCATATCGTCATTATTCTCAAATATAAAAAACTTACTAGAGGGATTAAATAACAAGAGCAAGCAGAGAAAATAATAATAATGATGATGATGATAATAAATATAAAAGTAATATTGATGAGGATGTTGAAAATCATAACAATATTGATAGGAAATTAATATGATGGTAATGATAGCCAGAAGACGTTCTCTGAGATGCTGCAGCGTTTGCCTTGAGTGGAATGTTCGAGAAGGTAGATCTTCTGAGGAAAAGGGTTTCCACCAGCGGATTCAACAATCATGGCTTTGTAATTATAGCTTCTGGAGGAAATTGGTGAAGTTTTGGCGCAAGAAAAAAAATCATATCTTAGATATTAAATCTTACCTCACCAATGAAAGTGAAGTGCTCTAAATCTCACTCCTAGAAATGTTGTTTAAAACTAAGGGTTTATGAAATAAATTAAATAAAGTTAAATGCTACGTTGCCGCATTCTTCTTTGTTCTCTGGCTGATCTTTGTCACAAGTAAAACTTTGAGTCTCTTCTTTGGCGACTACACGCAAGTCGTCATCCGACATGGTGGACTTGTGGTAAATGTGGCCTTCTTAGAGACAAAAATATTTTGTCTGATAACGGCGGCATTCCTTGCATCTAATTTCGCAGCACCAGTGAAACTTGCACTCGCATCTTTCTACAACTAAAACTTGTTGCGGAAGGAATCCTCGCCTACAGCAGAGGTCATAACAGTTGCCATCCTCCGCAGCTTCCACTTTGCATTCTCGACCAGCGGTACCTAGAATTCCACGCCTCTTGCTTCTAATGCAATAGTTGGGTGAAGATTCCAAGTAAATCAAATTGCCTATCGTTGGTTTGTTGGAGGTGCTTCTACGTCTTCCAGTCACCTTCTGGTTCTCAGATTTTTTATTCCCTTTAAGGAGGCGCCCAGTCCTTCTGTCGAGTCTGACCTTGACGGCTTTATCATACATGGTGCGGAGTTTTTCCCCAATGGTGGAGAACTGGACAAGTTCCTTCCAGCAGGTCTTGATTTCACAAGACTGAGAAATTCCGTGACACCTGCACCGGATTTCATAATTATCTCTAATGACCTAAACACGAGGAAAACAATAAATGGTTATTTTCTTCAGCAAGCACGTTCTTGAGGATTACTAGTGATCAAAAAAACTTGAAATTTGTAGGATCTCTTTTCGTAACGGATAGAAAGCAAATAACAGATAACCTGTGGAGCTGAGCAATACTTCTACTGAAGAGCATAATTCACACCGGTTTACATATTGAACCATGAGTACCACATTACAAGTGAGATTGTGGAAGTAAGAAAACACGATACTGATGTCCACAAGGCAAACTCCAACCTTGTCAGGTCATGATAAGCTTGATACCTCAATGAACTCTTGAGAAGCAGCAAACAATCTTGATGGATGATAGGATCTTGGATTACCTCAAGGTGGACGGTGGCTAGAGTGCTGAATACTGATTGGTGATAAAGTGATTTCACAGTGAAATGTCAATACAAAATTGTGAAGATTGTGAAGGTAAAATGCCACTTTTCTGTGCTTGATGGTGTTTCTTTACACATGAAGTTGCAGGCGACATCTTTTCAATGTCTCAGGAAGCAAATGAGTATTTCAAGTGATCACAACGCTCTTGACAAAGACTAACCAAACACCACAGAAACATGATAATAGAAGGAAATGAGCGATGAATGATATCCAAACCTGCCTCACGAAATAAAGTCAACATGGTTCTTGGTTAGAACTTGGAAAAAGGTAAGAATAGATTATTTTGACAGTGAAAGTGACTGCAGATGTCAGGCTCAATGCACTCCAAAATACGTCCTAGACTAATACAATGCCTGTCTTCACCCAAAAGAAAAACCGAAATGAACCAACAGTGAATTGCTAGGAGATCTACCTCTGATAGGCGAAAATCATTTTGAAGAGAAGCAGCTATTTTGTTAGTGGTAAAGACCCTGTTTGAAAAAGATAAACGACGGTTTTTAAATTTCTTTAGATCTAGAACTTCACGTGGAAGAAAATTCAAACTTAAAAGCCCTAGATTTTACAAAAGCAAATTTGCTACTATTTTTAGAAAACATTCCTTCAGTGTCATGGCGATATTCTTTCTCTCTATGACTAAAGGTTAAGTCCAAATGTCTTCATCTGGTTGATGATCTCAGTTTGGGAAACATCATTCGCGGATATTGCTTGGTTATCCACATCTATCGTGAACGATCGTAAAGCAATTCTGTCGGTGAGATAAAACGCATACTTCAAAAGTATCAGAAACAGAGGCAACAATCCCTTTGTGGCCGCTTAATTTTTTGGTACAAGCAAAACCGGTCACGAAAATGAATTAACCAGAAATATTTATTTAGATGACGACAGACGACCTATTATAGAGAGTAATAGGCCATGATTTTTATCTTTTGAAAGTAACAAGATACTTACAGATGGCTGTAGGCACCGACAGAAAGGCCGCAAAAACATTGTCTACAGACTGCCGACAGTTCAGGAGAAGGCTTAATAAGGGTAAGCGAAAAGGATTAATTGACTGATTTATTAGTATTTATATCCAAGGAAAGATAAGACAGCAACCAGGCATGAATTTCCATATAAAGTACTTAAACGTTTCAGCTCAGTCGGGGACGCAATCTATCCCACATGAAGTTGAACATTGGGTGCCTTGTCTGTCTTCATTTCAAAAATAACTGCATTTCCTTCCCAAAGGAATGTCTTGCTGTAAAGATCGTAGCTGAGGCCGACAGCAAGGGAAGTGAAAACCTACTACTCAATAGTTACTGAAATAAAAGAAAACCCGCCAAATTTGATGACATTAACTCGTTCTGAGTTATGAACCAAAGAGAAAAACAAGCTTAATCAAGATATTGCTCAACATGGAAAGACAATTTCATTATTCCTGTACCGAAGTAATTGTTTCGCTTTCCTCAAAGAACTGAAGAGAACTGATGATGACATTTCATTATGAAATTAAAATATAGTTTATGACTTGAGGCTGAGAACGGATAAGAAAGAAAGATAACGTATGAACGGAGAGAGAACAATAAGAAGAAATCTTGTTAGAATTTTGTTGTTTTCAAGCAATATCCACGTAGTCAAAGAAACATATTATCTCCATTGGAAGATAATAGGTTTCGTTAGAGGCCGAACGATATCTTTTCAACAACTGACAAGAAACCTCAGTGTGTGGCTTCGATTTCGCCGGTACATGCAAGCCAAGGTTTTGACACATTGTGCAAATAACTGCTCAAAAGGAGGAGCGAAATAAGGCGTGACATCATGATTAATATGTGGCTCACTTTCTAAGAATGAAAGACGTCTGATAGGGTAAATTATTGACCCACACATAGTTACTTTGCACATCGCTCAAAATTTATCTGCATTTGTGACGCTCCAGTATGATATTTGCATCAGTATGAGTAATTCGCTATCTTGGTCGACGGCGTTGTGCCTAAGACGATAAATCAACCACAATAGGGCGGCGGAAATTCAGCGATCGTATTCTACAGAGAGTTCCGCCACTATTTTTGGCCTTTTGATGTAGATGTGATTTTAATTTTGAGAGAGATGCCAATGGGGTTTCAAAGCTAAGGAAATTATATTGAGCTGATCATCTGTTGTATCTATTTCAAGCTACGAAGTTGAGTAGACTGGTATATTGATCTATGATGGTAGGATGCCGCACTTCCAGTAAGAGATGTTGAAGATCAATCGGCGATCTTATCCTCTTTCCCTTCAATCATTTTTCAATACCACTCAATGTTTTCGCAAGCGAAACACCAAATTTTATAGTTTGTTCCACTGGAAAATTGAACTATGAAATGTTAGTGAAGATCTTAAACTAAGCAATGTGTTAACAAATGCGGATCCTTTAGATGAGTTTGCATGTTTACCGGCTAGATTTGTTTTACGAAGAAATTTGTGTGCAAACGACATCTCAGCTTGTGGTTGAGATTTTGAAGTCAAATAAAGCACTGTAAATGACCGATGAGGTATGTCGCTTGAGCTATAGAAGAGATTGATGCTAGAAACAAAATGCGATGCGTATGTAGTTGACCTAGGATTTAGTTTCTAGATATTTAAACGGGATGTTTTCGATAACAATCAACCATATAACTATCCCAACAGCAGGAATCATACCAAAATGGAGTTCTGATCAGCAAATAAAATTTCCTCACCTGTATTCCAACCTCATTGTTATGAAGATTCATCAACTTCCTTTCTAGTTCACGCGTGTCCTTCGGTTTAGAGTTCTCGCCAGCTTTCATGAATTTCTTTGCGAACTTGGCGCCATACTCTATGTTGTCTCCACATCCTCCCCACTGATAGTTGCTGTTTAAGTCCTTAGGCCTTCTTTCCCGACTACAGCCACACATACTGAGATTGCCCTCCACGCATGATCGGGCTATCGAGTGCACCACACCAGCGGCTGATATAGCATATGTAAAGGCTGCCTCTTTCGTACCTGAAAACATCCACAAGATCAGACTGTGAATGAATCATCTGCTTCAATTACTGAATTGTATTTTATTAACGACGTAGACAAGAAATGAGCTGTTTAGGAATTTTAAGCTCGTGAATTTCTACACACTGACTCTTTCCTCATGACATCCCTTATTTTTGTGAAAGAAGAAAGCAGGATCTTAAACTAATGCCTATTGATGGAGTGTAAGGCCCTATTATCATCGCTTATGCCCCTGCAATTTCTACTGCGACTATCAATACTGCCACTGCTACTCTAACAACTACCGTTACGAATGTTTCTTCTGATGATGTAGATAATTTGTTTTTTGAAACACGTTTTAAACACGACCAAGAAAATCTGTTGACGTCAACTGTGATATAGGAATCTAGTTAATTGAAACTGTTCAAGAATACACCTATTAAGGTACATATTAATCTCCAACAGGCAACTTACTACTACTTCTGATATTGGCACCAACACTATTATTACCACTTCTGCTGCTGTTGCTGCACCTACTTCTACTACTACTTCCACAACAACGATTACTACTTCATACCACTTTTAATACTACTACTGTTACATTTGCAACTGCCACCACCTTTGCTACCTGCTTCTTCCTAAGCTTAGCTAAGAAGCATAAACTTTCATGGTCAATCGTCTACTCAGCCGCTCTCTAAACATTATTTGCGAAGGAAAATCTGGTTTCCACTAAGCAATCTTTAAACAGATATGCCACGTGCTTAAAGATCCTCTTTAAGGGGAATTGGGGAATAGCGCTTTGTTTTCAAATTTCTAAGAGTTGGGGTTTTGTTATAATAGAAACTAGCTGGCTCTAAAAAACCTGCCATGTAATTTGACAATTGAGAAAACAATTTTGTCAATATTCATTAGAAGCCTAAAATGATATTATCCTAAATCGATGTTATTAACAAACCCTCCTAGAGGCGCCAGAGGGTAACATTTAATTAAATGTATATTCATAGTGTTGTCAATAAAATTATCGACTTTTAAAAGTTAATCAAAGGTGCCTCAGGCACACTTTTTGTTATTATGCTCTTCGATTTAGGTAACAGACACATAACAATTGATATTTTCAAAGTGCGACTTTCTTTGATAATCCTTTACGCCAGAATATGGTTGAAGCTATTGTTGCACTTTAAAGAGGCTCAACGGAAAATCTCTGAATTAATCGATCTATAATAGTTTGTTGTTCAGCAAAGTAAACTTTTTAACGGTTCCAAAGGATATTGGTCTATAATTGCTAAATTTAAACCGATCTTTTAAGATATTCTCTTGAATTAAAAAAGTCCTTTTGACCAATGTCTGGCTTTCTCCTAGGACTGTAAATTAAGAAGAGGAGGAACTGGAAGACATGAAAATTATCTTGAAAAACCAAACAACCTCAGTTTCATTTTTCTTCCAACACGTAGCTCTCTAAAGGCAGATGAACTATGGAAAGCTAAAACAACCTTTATGTAAATAAATGGTGAAAGGACTCCAGTTTTCTTGAATATTTCCGAATCATCACTGTAGAGACTTCAACTAACAGTATCGAAATTGGAGTCTCTCGACTAAGATAACTGAAGTAAGTCGACAGATTGGAGAGGCACTCTTGAGAAAGCACTATTCATTGATATCTGCCTTGGCCCTTTTGACGACTCAGTGACTGAAACGTATTCAGGTACGTTCTCAAACAATCTTCGAATCATTTGAAATGACAAGATGACAATTTGATGCCTAGTTGAAGGAAAGGTTTCAAAAATGCTTGCGTGTTTTGTTCGTGTAAAGATTGGCCTTCTAAATGTCACGATCATGCAATTTTTGAAGTCTAGGGTCATTCAGAATTTTGTAAAAAGATCAAACATTTTTTACAGTCTATGCTAATCGTATTGCGGCCGGAGAAAACTTCTATTTTTTAAATTTTTCCCGCCGTAGACCACAAGCGCCTAAAGTGGACATCTGGGACATATCTTGACATGAAAGATTATAATATCCTGACAAAAGAAACCGCAACGATTGCCTCCCAAACAAGTGAGTGCGTAACCGCTCTGAACTATGACTGAAATCTTTCATAACTTAATGCGCAATCTCGTTATGCTGATAAATGCTAGAATAGCTCTTGGAAATGTTAATAACTTTGAAAAAATAAGGTATTTTGCATAGCAACCGAATATCGTTTGAGAGCCTTCCTCAATATCTCGACACATCCACCTCAAGCGGCTCTTTTATCGAACAGAATGGAAATTTCATCTTCAAGTACGTTTTTGAAAATAGCCAGGATTCTTATTGAGCTGTTAAGTATACCACTGGTTGAGTCGGTGCTGAGTAACAAGAGCACGTTTTTAAGCATGCTTTCTTGCACAAACAAACATTCACTGTAATGATCGCTGAACCAGGTGTCATACGAAAGAATAGGAAATGGCAGTCAGTGTTATGACGATACGTACACAAACAATCAAGGCTGAGGTCAAAACATGATACAGAACAAGAGTGAGTGCAGTTACCAAATACTTACCTTTCCCCGTTATTCGGCGAAACAGGGAATTGCTATCTTTTTCAGGCACAGAGCAGTTCCAACGGCGATACTTAAACTGGTACTGACACTGTTTGTACGCCAAACTTGCACCATATCTTATTGTAGGTAAAAGCTCCCGATTCGCCTCACTCATACATATTTGTTTCTGATCGTCGGACAATCCCATATTGTGGCAAGGCTGAGGGACGATGCCTACAATAAATGCCTGGTGTGGAATACTAAGCGGCCTGTTTAAACACAAAACAGGAAAGATGTTTGGCTAAGCAATTTACAAGTAATCGCCATCAAAGGGATTATAAAACCATTAGCTCTCTGCAAAGAAATGGATGCACAAGTCTTACAGTGGCATCCAATATACCCAATTCAATTTTTTAGTGGCAGGGAAGGGTTGATTGACTGCCAGCCAAATTCCTCTTGAAGAGCAGCTTTTGACACCCTTACTAACACCAAGTATTAAGAATTTAAGCTAACACCTCACTTTGACGGGAATGATGTTTTTCTTCGGATTTCTTCCAGATGCTGTTGTGTAAACCAGAGACAAACATAAAACCGTCTAGGAAGGAAAGCGAGCCCCTGAATAAAAACAAAGTGGGTGCTAGTGAGGTGATAAGGGATTTGACTCACCATATACTCTGTCCAACTTGAAAGAACGATGTGAGGAGCATAAGGCAAAGGATTAGTGGAACTTGACGGACTCGTCGACGCACCTTCATTGCGAAGTCTAAGAAGTTCTGAAAGAGACAAAAGCTTGTCAAGGCTCGCACTCCCCGCAATTACTTCACGCTCGCTGATTTATACTAATCTCTTTAGCACATGCAGTAAGCACTCAAATAAAGCCGACTCGCTTCCTATAATACCATTTCGCTTCTCCTGATTGGTCGATGGGAACTAAATCCAATCCTGTTTGAATTTAGAAGTTCGTCGAACTTATTGATTACAGATGTAAGAAGTTAAACGCAAAAGACACGATTTCTGCAGACTCTGCCTCGGAGATTCCTGAATAAAATTGGCGTCTATCAGCCAGAGGGCTTTTATACCGGAAATATTTCCAGTTTAAGGATGACCTCGTCAACTGACGGATATGTCACCACAGAAAAGAGTTGGATTTCAATGAAGGGCAATAGCTTGTTTGACTTTCTGATAATGCGGTGTGATATTGAGCAAACATGGACTAGACAGATGCCACTCAGTCACTAACGCAACAAATCAAATACACACGAGAAAAGATTCCTAGAAGAAATAAAAAAGTCTAAAAGACAAGCCATTTAGGCTTTAAACCCTTAATTTCTTTAATTGACCTTTAGGATCATTTGTTTAATAAGTTTGGAAACGCGTCTAAGTGGCACAAGTTGAAAGAACATATCATTATTTAGTTCCATGGACGATTTGTCACGAATATGTACAACCGCGTTTGCCACACATATACGGGCAGCTTTCATCTGGCTTCGAGTGGATGTTGATTAAAACCCTCGAGAGGAAAAGATTAGCGCTCTGAGATGAGATGCACACTCATGTATTGGAATTTTTAGATTATTACGGTCTTACAATTTCATGCCGTGCACGAAAACTAAGAATGTCATACCAGGTTTGTGACCTTACTGTCGTGATCCGATGAATAGACCGACATTCCTCAAGAGTTTTGGGATGTTGTCAGATGACACTGTTTGTTGAAAGTTCACATCTTTTGCTGGCTGCCTTTCAGGGTTCTCGTGCATTGGACGCCAATCACAGCTAAAACGTTTTCCATCTAATGGCGCCCGGCACGCGAGAAATTGACAATCGTGAGGGCACGCAACTTCGGTTCGTTTTCAGTCAACATTTACGCTGAATCTGTTTTGATTTGTAACTACCTTTACTCCAAATTTGGTCGTAATGCGATACAAAACAAGCTGAAAAACAAATCGTTATCTTGGTCATGTTAAACTGATATAACAGAACTCGTTGGTGCGCCCTGAAATATTCATTGTCCTTGGATTTCACTCGGCATCAGTTCGCAGAGAGCAAATATTAGAATATGATCAAACTAATGAGAAAGACCTTTGATTTCAATGGGTTATTAATAGTTTCTATAATTTGCAAAGTTTTGAAAAATTCTGAGTCTTCAAATCAATTTTATCAAGGTCAAGTGGATGACCGAAAAGCAGATCAAAAGTTATATGAACAAGCTTACATGAATCATTTACGACGAGTGAGCGCGAAATTGTTAATTTAGGCGGAAATTGATCAACTGCTCTAAAAAGATTCCCTCACTTCCCGGTTGTTAACACCGGTAAAACTTGTCAGTTGTGGAAAAATTCGTAACTCTGCTTGAGGTCCGAGTAACAGTCTCATACCACCGCACTGCTACCAGCCTTTAGGCAATGCCCACCCCGAAACGACGCATTCCATATGATACCAGACTAACAGACTGATCGAGTAATTACTCATTTAAAAGGCGTCCTTAACGTCACCGGGCCATGCCAAGGCTAAAAACGTACTTCTCATTCACCGCTCAAGAGGAAGTTTATACCGAAAAAGAAGCAATTTCGATCTCACTTTTTCTCTGAAGTGCAAAACAGTTTATCCTTTTCACCTGTTCTCAGGATTAACAGTCACTAAAAGTATTTGGGGTTCACCATGGATAATTCAAAGTTTGAATTAGTAAATGTGACCATTACAAGACATTTTGGAGCTTGCGTTTAGATAAAATTGTTTAAGACGGTACACCATCATAAAGCCCTAGAATTTTTAAGGGATGTGTAGGCAGATAGCGCAAGATTGTTATTTCTCGGTGTATCACTGAAGTGATGCACCGAGAAATGAGTGAATTCTACAAATTAAACTCTTGTTATTGATTATCAGCGGCTTATTTCACATGGCAATCTATGTTTATCCTGCTGAGAACATTCATATGTGTAAAGAAGTCAAAGTCAGGTAGTTTTCGCATTCAAGTAAGAAATCCCGAATCAATACCATGATTTTGCTACATCGCAGCCTCAGATCCAGGAGTAGTCAAATTGAAAGAAATTGTCAGCGTTTTTTGCCCAGCTTGACATTAAAAGTTATTTTAATGAATCAGTTCAAGCAGTTAATCGAAACCTGAAAAGTGAATCTGTCAAAAAAAATTATTAATAATCTATTCTCTGGTGGGGGGTAATTCTCCAAGTTTATTCTGCTGGAGTCCTCGGCATTTAGCACGATCATTGAATCAATCATATAAATTCTTACCGCTTCAAAAATAGATCTGAAATCTAACAGTCTAGTTTTCGTGTGGGGGTAACTTTCCCAAATATGGTTCTTCTCCACTTCCTTCGCTTACGCAAGATTTTTCGCGAAAAAAGGGTTAGACCCTCAATTATTTTTTTAGGGGCGAAGTTACAGTTCTTATCTGATTACGCCAATAACCAGACCGAGTCTCGTGCTAAGGTTGCCTCAAAGGTCAAGAGATTGAAAAAAATAATAGCACAACTCTGGCGTTTATATTTCATTACAAGAGATCGATGAAGTTGTCAAAATTTTTATGCAACCTGATTAAACAACATGAATCAATGTCAATGATCCCGTTTCCTTGCAAAAATTAAAGTCCAATTTTTCTAGATTATCCGTGAGAGATATCCCAATCAATTACAAAAAAAATGGTTATTATGAATATTTAGAAGAGCGCTTTTCCTATACAATTTCAAGAAGGCAGAACTAGAAATGGATAAAACAGGAATAGAGACCTTCATGTGAAAAATTCATGATTATTTCAACAATTAGGGGCAATAATGTAGGCTGATAACCTGATAACAGACTCGAGGCAAGCAGAGTTTTACTTTAGAGATTTCATATCATTGTGGAATGCATGAAAGTAATATTTGCAAAAAGGCGTGAGAAGATATCTTGCATTCCTGGAACGCGTCAAAAATTTTTGGTGAAAAAAGATTCAAGCAAAGTATTAATTTTGGGGGCGATCGTCGGTTGATACCAGGAGAGAATAAGTTCAGCTGTGAAAATTAAAATACCTCTTTCGACCGAATAAAGGGTTATATTTAAACTGGATTATAGCGAAACAGATTTAGAAAAGTGAAAAATTGTGAAATTAAAGTTTGAGTTACTCAGATGAGGTAAGAGGCGCTCGAACCTGCTGCTGCAATCCTTATTAGTTACGACATTTCGCGTTCAGTATAACTAGGGTGTGAAGTGTCCTTCGTGCCATACTTTACCCACCACCCCTTCCACTTGAACGCTCAAAAAATTGATTGAGGTGAGGAGTTATTTCTGTTATGTGTTGTGTTATATATTTCTGATACGGGGAGTTTCATTATCGCAGGGGGCAGTATTTTTTTTCTTGGACTGTCTGGAAATTTTTGTACGGTATGTTAACTGCTAAGACATGATTACTCATAAATTGTTTATGAGGAGAGATGTCCAAAAATGCAACTTGTATGACTGGATCGTTTGACGAGTGAGGAAATTTTCTAATCTTGTTCAAACCACTGTTCAGTCCCGGGCCTGATCTTGGAACGAAAGTAGACCAGGGTACAAAATTTTCAAGTTTTAGATGTTGTGGAACAACATTTGTCAAACTTACTTTCAAACTGATAGCCATCAAATTTATTGCACGAGAGCCCATACAAGATGTCAAAGTAAAACTGCCATGCTCTACTTCAGATCTAAGACTCGATAACACGAAAGTAGTGATGCTTCACAGACTGGTTGTTTCATTGTTCTTGGAGTTTTCAGTATTACGTTGGTTAGGTTTTGTATTACCAATGTTAACAATAATTGTTGCAGAAAAGGACAATAATTAGACCCAGACAAATAGAAAATAGGAAATTTCCTTGAAGAATTATTCTAAATTCTGTGGATTCTGATCGAAACTGAAGTTTCTCCGTCAAGTTAGCTGGCAAATTTGCAAAGATCCTCATAACACACCAGTAAATTAATTTTCTTTTTAAAGCGACAGACTCAGCATGTTGAGTAAATTCTTCTGTGAAAAATGAGAAAAGCAATTCTCTTTCAACCGTTATTTCAGAAGACGAAAGGTTGCTGAGGTTGAAGATAGCTTGTTCATAACCACAAATTTATGCAGTAATTTTTGTGACCATAAGCAAAAATGAGATATCTTTACCCTAGTCTTTGCTAAAAAGAAAAAGGTGTTTTAAAGTAAACTGTGACTAGAAGAAGAAGAAGAAGAAGAAGAAGTAGGCGGTGAGCAGGGATGCAGGGACTCGACGCGGCGTTCCCTCAGTGTTCGGTACGTACTTTCTCTGTGCTTTGACGTTCCGAAAATTTCCAGCTGAGAGCTAATTGTTTTAAACTAGAAGCATATGACAACCTTAGGGAAAGTGGTTGGAAATCTTCACGTGCAACTTTCAGGTGATGACTTATGCCATTACTCAGCAATCACACTACGTGCAATACTGAAAAGAATTTGTAGCTGACGTTTTGTGATCGACGGTAACGGAAATTGAATCCATTCGATTCATGGTGAAAATATAGCCTTGTCGGACGTTCTCGTCCGCTTGTCACATGTTGCAGTTTTTTAATTGCAGCAAATCTTTTTTTTTTTTTTTTTTTACTCTTTCACTCCAAAGATCTTATTGTTAATTCTCCCGTCGAGCCGCTACTCATTTCTTTGTAAATTACGAGAGTTTAGTGTAAGATCAAAGTAACAACTTCTACATTAGTTTGAGTATTCTCATTACCTGTTTGCTGGATAATGTACATATATTATGGGGAGAAGTTATATGTTAATCACTTAAGATGC